GGAGGATATGGGACTACGGCCGAAGAGTAAGGCAGCTCGAGGTGCGAGCGCCACCAAACGGAGATTCCAGACGACGTGTCAACGTCGGCTATCTTTTTTTCATTCCTTTAGTATATGTTTTCATCAAAAGGCCAGCTGGCGCACTCACCATATAAAAGCAGCCATCCACCATCGAAACATCTCAGATTCGTAATCCGAATACTGAGATGTAAGTCTTCTAAAATGTAACGTTTGAGTACAAGTACTAACGTATACCGTAGCTTACCTGTCTAGGTAAAAACACTTGTCAATAAAGAGATTCGTAATCCGAATACTGAGATCTTACCTGTCTAGTCTAGCCTCGCGTGAACGCCCTGCTATACTCTCAATAGGACAGACTATCTGCGACCGTGAACAAAGTTATCAGTTCATGATCAAGGTGGAGTGGTGGACTGTCAGGTGGTTGTTCTGCTATATCCGAGTCATTGGAGCCACCGTGCGGGGAAGTTCCGGGAAAATCATCCGGCGCATCATCGGGATGATCGTCAGGCGGTCTACTACAAAAGTCTTGAAGCTCGTGTCAGTCGATGGTTGGAAAGCACCACAAACTATGAGAAATTACCTGTAGAATAAAACCTATGCATGACAAAATCAAGTACTTTATCTGCTGAAGGTCGAAGTTCGGGTTCGGATTGCAAACATTTTTGGATGAATTTCCAATCAGAGTCTATTATTGCAGGATGACCATCTGGACGCTGCGGTCTACGACCTTGGGATATCAGGTTAGTAATGCATGCCACCAGCCTTGCAGATTTAATCTCAGACCAAGGAGGCCGACCCGAGAGAATCTGTTCAATCAGTCCTCAGGGAAACGTTTTGTGACCAAACGTCAACTCACTTGAAGCATCACACAACCAAAGGAGTAGATATCGATTTTTTCCACCAACCCCGGGTCACACGTAGTGTCTGGTAGAATGAGTTCTGGTGCAGCATAGGGGATTGCGCCGTGATGTATAGATGTCACGGCCAAATGCGACTGGCCAAGAAGGGGTTGTGTAATGGTGGAAAGACCAAAATCGATCAACCTCGCATGACCTCCCTTGTCGATCAGTATATTTGCCTGCATATTCATGAGGTTTCAAGAATGACACAACAGCTCTGAATTTACCCCTGTTATATCACCGTGCATGACAGCTTTCGAATGCACTTGCATCAAACGTAAGTTACAACTTGAACGTTTTGAAAAAAGATGGAAACTAACGGTAACGAAGTCCAGCGCTGACATCCTCCAACTTCCAACTTCGAGTTAGTCTTCAAAAGTGAAAGGATGTGATGGTAATGACTCACCATACGCGAACGGTCCAAGACTGTTAGATGGTCGTGGTTAGATACTAGGTATGCATTCAATGTGCCATTTGGCATCCACGGAGAAACTAAGCAGCGCAATTCTGGCTTGGATCCAAATCCTGTCGCTATACCCAACAAGGGTACAATGTTGTCATGGTGTAGAATCTTCAATATGCCAATTTCTCGGCTGATTTTCTAGGTGCGTCCAAAATCAGTGTAGGCTGATATGCGGTCCTTGCACAGAGCTTACCCTGTTGAGTGTCTCTAAATCATAATGATCTGGAAGTTTGAAGGCCTTGACCGCAACCTTATCGATCAATATCCCGATCATGATCAGCCAGTTGCATAGTAAATTGAATCCAACATATGAACTAACGAGGGCAGAAATACCATTTGCATCATCATTGTAATTGCATTTCCAGACATCGCCATATGAACCTGCACCAACGTGGTCCATAGCTATTCGAGTGATAAAGGGCGTCAAATCGTCTGGCAAGTCTTCCGTCCTGCAGCACGGTCACACGAGAAGTTCATTAAAACAAATATGACGACATACCTTACATTATCGTTCTCCATACTTTCTCGATCAACTTCGTAGTAGGCGATGAAATGTCAACTGTACTATCCTGTGAATCCACGCTGGATGTAGCCTATAGGCGTCTATATGACTCGTGTTCATTACTTAATAGCAGCGCTCACCATTCTTGAAGCTTGAATCTTGTCCTAGAGATATCAGATCATTGGCACAAATCATCCGAGTTGACACGTCAAGTGCAACGTAAGTACTAGCTGGCTGCCTCAAAATAGCTCGAGTCCGCTAATGCAGCCTACTGATACTCATTTTTCTTAGCGATACCTTGTCACTAAGGCTGCCCATGCGTGAACTCGGCATGACCCTACCCACTACTCGTAAGAATTTGTTGGGCACAGGATGCAGCTAGGCCGCCCTACAGGCTACGCACCGAAAACCCGCCTTCATTTATACATGTTTGACAGTACTTTGCAATGGACTGGGACGTGGGGCCATCCCCTTCATTCCAAATTACAATTCTCCTCTTCATCTCAATGGACGCGTGCTAGTACTCGGCCTGCATCCGCTAACATGAGCATCAACGATGATGTCAGCTACATTCCATGGAAACAATTCTAACTTGATCATGTCATCCGAGAACTCATGCACGACGCAGAGAGCAAAAAGGAGGGAAAACGAGAACAGAAACGTACGTGCTCTCACACGAGAACATTCGAGGTATTTTTGACTTGCTTTTGTTCTGCTTGCAGCCCGTTTGGATGCGTCTGACCACACGTCCACATGGGCATCAAGCACCAGCACGTCTGTTCCTCATCGCACGGCATCCCTCCCCGGTTTTTCCACACCATCAACATCGACAAGCACACTTGCATCTACGTTTACGTCTAATTCATCGAGAAAACTACATCCAATGAAACTCATCTCGAAGAAAGTACCCCCGTCGCGTGCGTATTCATCTACTGCACCTGTGAAAGATGGCGTCTCTTCCGAATCAGAACTGGCCGCGAGGTACCTTCATGTCATACGTAATGGCACTGCAGAGATGGACGAGAATTCGAGGCGAAAGCAAGTTGCGAAGGCGAAGGCAGAAAAAGAGGCGGCGAGTGGCACGCCGGGGGATATCGCGACCCGGAAGAATACCTGTGCATCTTCGTCTGTGTCGAGGTCCGCATCTACCGCGTTCACTGCAAGGCCTTTAAAGAAGACGGCTAGTATCTCGTCTACTTCTTCTTCTGCACCTCTGCGAGGAAATGTGATCAGTAGATCATCGAGCTCTGCAACTCTCAAACCTACAGTCAAAATTTCTAGAGACAGTGGCACATGCGGGGACATCCAGATGACGTTGGACTCAGATCGAGATACGGATCGCGAGGAAAGCACTTTCACCGATTCTGCAGGTGACTTCGCTCCAAACGAGTCTTTCTCGATGCACGTCGATGACGTCCTACCACCTCCCAAGCGTGCTGTGGGGAGGACCCCCAGTATTGTTATGGACACTAGTCCCGCGGCTTCTTCCTCAAACTCTGGGTTTATGCCTCCTTCCAAAACTCTCACAGCTGCATCCACCTCCGCATCTACAATAGTTCAGAGAAGATACCCCAGTCGAGACCTGTTGTAGCACCCTCAGCAACTCAACGAGGTCCCCCACTGCTGGGGATGCGCCGGCAATACAATCTCCCAAATTCCGGATTCCCTTTGTCGCAATCGCGTTACGCCACCACGCAGTCGCCCTATGCGGCTTCACAAGCGAAGGGACAAAAGCTAGCGACGCTTCCGCCCTTCAAGCCTCCGCTGCTCAAGAAGCCCACGCCCACGCCCGAGCTGGTCAAGGACGATAGCAACGATGATGGTGAGGAGGAGGAGGATAAGCTTGGTGCGGCGGGTGCGGATTCGTCGTTTGATGTGTCTTTTGATGTGGATGTGGATGCCTTGGAAGCGACGATGCGGCAGTATGATTAATGGGGTGGACGTATGCGTTTTTTTGATGCCGGAGAAGATACGGGGTGTATGCTATGGAAGGTGAATACTATGTTTTCGATCTGTCTTTGATAATCCATCTACTTAGATACATTTACACGCGTTCACATATAATATTCACTTTATGATTTTGGACTGCATATCTGGAATATTGACTGCTACGTATACTACATACCGGTATACCAGTTACTCAGTATTAGGATGCATCTCCAGATATCACCAAATGTTGGCACGAATCGTCGACGCGCCAAGTGCAACATCAAAATAGCTCCAGTCTGCTAATGTGTGGTTCACTGATACTAGTAAATAGTACGACGCCCGGCGAGCCCAATCAATGCACTCGCAGCTCAGATCTATGCAGATCGTCCTTTTCACTGTGTCTAGTAGATGATACTTAGCGTACATGCATAAATATTCAATATCGATGACGTGTATGCGTACAATGAGGCGTAACGTACGTGAATATTTAGGTGGAAGTGTGAAAATGTGAATAGTTCTAGGAAGAAGCGATGTCAAACCGTCAGAATATATTTGCATAAACACATATGGGAGGTCAGCAGAAAGTCTGGGACCTCGGAATTTCGCCCCAAGCCTTGGTTCCGTTCGCCCCACTAGGTACCAAACAATACACAACAATACCTCTATTTTTTAATAATAATATTTGTCTCAATATATTAATCACATGACATAATATGCTAACCACCTCAATCATTGAGTCCATCCTTTCGACTCATCAGTATTCCAATTATCATTAGATAAGGCACATGCCGCACACGACTCTCATCTTCAACCATCACCATCAACTGCAACAAACGTCCTGCCCACTCCCTTGCTACCTCCCAAAGGCACATATCATTGCCTGCCACCACCAACTATTAGGCAACAATTGGTATGTTCATCGAACTAGTGCGTGCCATGTCTTTTTCTTTGATACCATGAGTTCAACGTGAAGCTCAACCTTATAGGATCTTGGGCGTGTGACACATTTACCTATGATTCATTACAACAGCAAATCCAGCAAATTTTACTCTTTGGTATGTACTCCCTGCAATAGGGCTTCATGTACGTGTCTCTCCTTGCTTCACAGTTGCAGTGCATCTCATGTAGTCCCTGAGCAGTTCTATATGACTTATTGACTACACTCTCTCATGCATACAAAGTCACGATGTCTGACATCCCACCAACCACACCATTTATCAAGCCTGACTGGGTGTCTGTTTGTGGTGAATGTGGTGATGAGCTGGCATGGCGTGTGGTTAGTTCAAGCAAGAATGACAACCGTGGGCGGTGGTATGCTATGGTAAGGATTTTCATTTCATTAATAGGAAGCTACCTGTTGTTCATTGTTCATTGATCGTGTTAGTGCTCTAAGAAGACGCCTGCAGGAAAACCTGAGTTCTTTCGGTGGGGGTCTCCAAAGTCTTCACCAAACCAATCTCCCCCCAACTTATCACCGACTTTGCATTCTGGCTCATTGCCACCTGTGGCAGGCACAAGTCTCATTCCTGAGTCTCATGTGTCTCATGCTCAGGATGCCAGCTCCAATACTCACCATTGCGCTATTCCTGGCTGCAAGTCAAGCCGTGTTGCTGTCAGTTGCAAACATGAATGCTGCCGCAAGCATTGTCTTGCTTTTGGCGGGTGCCGCCTCAAGAAGCATAAGCTATCTCCAGCTGAATGTCAATGCTTTGCTGCCATTGATCCTGCATTATTGGTAGTCCCACCAAATCCTCACCACCGTAATTCAATGACTCCATCTGAAACCCCGGATTCAATTCAACCCACCCCAGACCTAGAGACGTGTGCTCCTACCCCAATCCTAACCCATGAAACCCCTTACACCACCCTTCCGCCAGCATCTGTGACTCCTGCAGCCAGTCGAGAATCCTCTGCTGGACCATCCAACCTTCCTGTCACACGCACCAAGAAGGGTAAAGCTCGTGCTGTCGAAGATGTTGATATGCTTGCAAATTCTCGCCATCCGTCACAACTTCCACCAGTCTTCACTCAACGATATGCTGAACAAGAGCTGGTCCTTCAGCAGCAGAAAGCATGAGATGCTGAACAGCGTGACCTTGCATGGTGTGCAGCCAACACCATTTATGCCTATGGCTGGTCCAAGGTAGGTACTCAAAGTCATAGTCGTTGAGCGCTCCTCATGATAGTTATTTTATAGGATGGCAATCAGGCTGAGATGTTCGAGGTCCAGAATGGATTTACCTATCCCCAGCTCCAGATGACTGCCTCCATCCTTTCCGCTCTAGGCTTGACTGCTGGTGAGGACGGCTCCTCCATGCTGCAGTACTATAACACAGCAAGGAGCAGATGGGTCAATATCATCCAGGGCCATGTCATCACTCTCGACACACACCATATCTTCGTGTGCAATGTTGGTGTCTCTGTCATGCCCGACTTTGATACGATATTTCATGACTGTGCTGCCAGTGAAGCTGGTGCCCCGAACATCCGAACCAATCTCCAAGCCAAGCGTGCATCTATACGCCATGCTAACAACCGTGATCTATTAAAGCTGGCGTCCTCGAAGAGACTAGCCTCGGTAATTGAGGTCTCTAGCAGTTCAGATGATGAAGTCATTGCCCCTGGCAAACACAAGACTGCTGCCCGCCATCAGGACCAGCATGGCCCTACCTGTCGTATATGTACCAATACTGGTGGATCATCACACCCTCCTGCCATCAAGGTGGAACACTCACTGGGCACCATTGAGCTTACTTCAGATGAATCTGACGATAGCCTTCTTACGACTGGTGGCTTATTCCGTCTTCCTGTCATGAAAACAGAACAACATTCACTGGGCACCATCGAACTCGCTTCAGATGAATCTGATGATGCTGTCACAACATTGCCTACTGGTCTGACAGCTGGTGACCCCATTGATGTTGATTCCTTTATTCTCAAACGTACCTGGCCGAAAAGCTTCTATACATGCGAGGTCGCAGATGTCTTCAAAGTTGCAGTGGTTGATGATGGGAGAAGCCTGAAGACAAAGTTTGAGGAAGTGTATGGTCCTGATGTGCGCTTCTATGCATCAACTTTCAGTGATCACTTCAAGCGCTGGAAAGCTGCTTCCCCCTCATCTCGTTCGGAGTTCATTGAAGCAGGAAAGACAGATGACGGTCTGTACTCGAAGTTTATGAAGGCAAACCCTGCGCCAGGGGGGGAAGTCAAAGCTGCGAAGAAGCGCCTCACACGCCTGCGTGGCTAGCTAACAGACTAATTTACCAACATTCGTTCTAGTTCATCTCTTACTATCATTCATTTTCGTTTTGTAACCACCTGACATGTTCTACTTGATTAATTCTTGAGCTGCGCTACACAAATAGTACTACAATTGAGTCAGGAAGCCGATGATATTCGTCAAACAGAGAATTGAAGTAACTATGGAAGGACAAAGTGAACCTGGGATGGTGGAGGAACGAGCGCATGTCTACCAACCATGCATGCATGGCTGACGACAATAAGAAACTACTGAAGGACATCTCATGCCTCCTGTAGTGTATACCTGAAGCAAGTCTTACAAACTGAGTGATACACATGCCACGTTGGTCAACACCACCGTGAAGTTCGCTGGATCGGTGTCAACAAGTGAGGGGGAGGGGGTGCAGCCAGGAGTGGTGGGGTGAAGTCACCTGGAGAGGTGACCTCATAGGCAAAGGCAGACACGATGGAGGCCAAGAGGGAGGAGCGCTGGAGTGTGCCAAAGGAGAGATCGAAGAAGAGAATGAGAGAAAGCACGGGCTGCAGCCATTGAGCAAGCTTAGGGTTAGGGTTAGGAGCTCGCACCTGCAAGGAATAATTATGAGAGTGCCTGAAGCGAGAACAAGGCAAGTGTACAGGGCAGGAGCCGATGCCGATTGAACGAAAGCCTGGCCAGCAGTGCTGGTACCAGGCAGATCTGCATGTTCTGCACTATAAGATTTGATGTGAGAGTACCATCTGGCAGAGTGCGGGTATTTCGATGGCTCTGGTGCTGCAGGACGAGGGTGGATGCAAGTACTAGTACTTCCTGCTACTCCTGAACCATTGGCGTCCGCGCCAGCTTCCAAGCTGCACTGTATGTATCACCTCCAGTTCGGAGCTGAACAAGTTGTACATTCATACGGTGCAAGCTCCACCTATTTACACTGTTCGCCACCCAGCTACACCAAAGGCAGTTACTAGGTGAGGAGGGTAGAGCTGCAAGCACCATTCACACCTTGATCGCCGACATCATGACGAAGTGTGAATTGTGCGCACGATTTTTCAAAGTCAGCTGGCAAATGCCGGTCAACAAACAACACGTCAATAAGACATATTTACCCCTTAATCCTTGACTTCACACATCTCTCATTGGAACAGCTCGATCGGCAGCCTTTCATACTCCAGAAGGTCGTCTGTCTGCTGCACGCAACCTAATCAAAGAGGGAATTGATGCTCTTGCCGTCTGTGGAGGTGATGGTTCTCTAACCGGCGCAGACCTATTTCGCTCCGAATGGCCTTCTCTCATGTCACGGCTGCTCACTCAGGGTGTGATCACAGAAGAGCAGGCAGAGAAGCACGGACATCTCAAGATCGTTGGCCTTAATTTGACTGCTGCAAGTCATTCGTGTGCATTTGTGTTAGAGGTGATGGGGAGACACTCTCCCAGCGTTTGTCTTTTATGGATCCACAATTTTATGAAGACGTTGCTCCCCTTCTTATGCCTATCGAGAGCCCAACAAGGTCAGCGTCCTCTAATCTTGAATTTATACGTATATAGACTTGGCCATATAGGAACCGCACTACAACTCCAACGAGCTTGAAAACGTGAGTATCTCCTTGTCATTATTGGGTATCTCATTGTCCCTTCAGCCCGTCTTATCCTGCACCAGTAACCACAACATCGCCTATTCCACTGGATGGACATATTCAATACCCAGAACTCATGTCGCAACACCAGCTCAAGCAAGGCTACGCACCTTCTCTGCAATCAATGTTTAATTACCATACGTCATATTGATGGTGACCGGTACCGGACTGCTTCTCAAGAGTCGGCATGGATTACCCGTAAAGCCAGCAATCCTGTCCAAGTACCCGACTTGAAGACTGTGAGCTTGCCACGAGAATGCCTTCCATGGTTTCTGTCTATCACATCGCTGAATACAGCATGAAATCGCGAAACTTGCGGACTATTGTCCCGCAGTCGACTCTGGATGACGTATGTGCAGGAAAAGACGACAAAGAGTCTAACAACAAACCCATATTTCCCTCTGCACCTCCCCGCCCTGTATTCTCCGCAGACAAACCTGTTTTTCTCGTGTCTCAGCAATCTTCATGTCTACCAGATCTCGTGCGTCAAATCTTGCCTGTAAGTCATCGTTTTGCACATTTGTTTGATGTCTCATGATGGCACCACTATAGGCTACAGAGGCAAGTTGATGCCAATGAGCGGGAGGTACAACACATGATGCATGAGTCCTATGTTAGCATTAGTCAAGTGTCCTAACTGTCCAGCGCTCAAAGTCCAACACCAGAGGACGACGATGCTGATGAGCTACGGCACAGTAGAGTGGCGAATGGCGACGTCCAGTACACCTGGAGGAAGTATTCCGACTTTCATCACAGAGGGCAGTATGCCAGGCCAAATATCTGCGGTGAATATCATATCGTCTCATGTACCATGAATTGAGACTGATGTTACCTTACAGGATGTTCCGCACTTCTTAAAGTGGTTCCATACCATTTGCAATCAAGGAACTGCGTAACTCGATAGTTGAAATCAGACCGGACAGTATATCGGACAATAGATGAGCAAATACATGCGCTTGTTCACAGGCGAGAGATATGGTTGAACGTTCTGCATGTGTTACTGTTGTGCGAACTTAACACAATCTACACAATTAACCACCTCTTGGCATTGACATCTTCTGGTCGTACAATGGTTCATCCCATGAACAAAAACGCAAACGCACATGGACAACTTGGTCTACGGAAGTTTGACATTCCTAATCCAAGTTCTACAGACACCGTTTCTCCGCCCCGCTGTAAAAACAACAATACTGAGAGGAACAATTGAATGCTCCTGACTGTATCTATAAAATGTTGTAGGTCGTGCATTGCCTAGTCTGCATTACTTGAGGAGACAAGCACGTTCGACCCTAAAGGGAAGTGAGTGCAGCAAAGATCTAGAGGTACGCGCTGAAGCGAGGCGCGAGAAAGCGCAGGTGCGCGCAAGGTACGAAGGCGCGGGAATGCGCGCGCGTATTAGCGCGAAGCGCGGGAAAGTGCGCGTGCGTGTGTGGAAATGAGAAAGAGTAAGCTTAAGTGAGGATAAGATGTAAGACAAGTGAAGAGAGGTGCAAAGTGCAGACAAATAGATTTCTACTATGTTCAGCTAGGTAAATAGTGGGTGGTACTCAAGTCAAAAGTAAAGTTGGGTGAAAAGTAAGTCCGTAATAGTATGTACTGCTGGCGCTTATATAGCGAGCCTAAGCGCAGTCATGCGGAGCCGAAGCGCTACCGAGTAGGTATGTAAGGATATATATGGGTGAGAGTCCATGATAAAAATAAAGGTGGAACACTATGCTAATAAAGGAAATGGAAATATACGCACTAGGGAGCTTGGTGGACAGTGGATGGATGCATCTGGATGGCTGGCGCTATAGGGCGCGCAAGCACGGGAACGCGCGCGCGTGTATACATCGCGAAGCGCGGGAATGATGTGCGCATGGCGCGCGTTGCGCGGGAAAGCTGCGCCTCATATAGGAATTGCTGTGGACAGTACACAGAGTGGTGCTGCGAGTTGGTGCTGTATACTCCCTTAGTGGGAACTGCCATATCACGCCATGAGAGGCATGATTCTCTACACCGCATTCATGTCGAGCTAGTTCCAAGGGCAGTGGCTGACCCATTCGCTACAGTGTCTCCTTTCTCGTGTTTGGCATCATCATCTGTGCCACCTTCCATATCCACCAACATTGATGGAATAGATGACCAGCACATTAGATTTTCAGATGCTCTCTTTGAGATTCCCTCTCTCCAAGGCATCAAGGTCTCTCAAATTGCAGCTGGAGGTCGCACCAGCTTTGTAATGACAGATTCTGGTAGGGTGTCTGACATGTTTCGTCACCGAATGCACGGATGGCAAATCCCTCGAATATGTAGACATTCTGACTTGTGGTATGATGAGTCGTATCATACGCGCATTGATATCCACTCATATTGCAAATACGAATGAAGGAAAAGCTACAGAGGCCAGTTTCCAGGGGACCGTTTCTGACTAGCTAACTTTACTTTCAAGAGACGGTTCTTCTGAATAATCATCTCATCCAAAAGGAAAACATAACGATCAGCGGTCATCTCACGACATATAGAATGGTAACCTCCAAACCACACATTGGTCTGTTCAGCTATTGATGAGTTGAACAACCATGTGTTATTGTCGCCCTTCAACTCGTCAAAGAATGTGGGGTTGCAATGTTCCTGGCACCATTGATCTTCTTCCAAGTGCTTGCATTTGAAATGGAACACGTCAACCAAGAGGCCGACATTCTGAAAGTAAGGATCATTGCAGACCATGTAGGAAAGGGTGCAGTTATTATCATAGAATATATGACCTGGTTTGATGGTCTCGTCGCAGAACATGTGTTTGATCATTTCCTGTCATCGATAGTAGTAATTAGGATGATTCATGTGTCACAGAAATGGACTCACAATGACACTTGCCACACCTTCTGCACCAAAGAACATTTCTTGTGCTAGGATCATTCCACAAGGGGAAACAATCAGCTGCTCATTGTGAGTGCGTTTGCGTCCGAACTGTGCACGAAGCCTCGCCATTGGCTGTTGTGAAGTTGTTGCCTTGGATACGATTTCTCCTTGTGTGTCAACCTGAAACTCCTCCTCAGAATACTCCTCCTCAGGAATAGAGTTGGGTGGGGTAGCAACAAAAGTGCGCTGAAGTCGCTCTTGAAGCTGGAAGCGAGCTTGGCCACGTTCAGTATAAGCCTTCTCAACTGCTTGGTGGGTGGGTGTGTCACATGTCTTCATTGAATGGACGACCACACGGTTGCATCCAATGATAGCACAGGTATTTACGAGTGGCAAGTGTTTGAGGCAAAAGCGGTCATGGTTATTGAGAAGTGGGTCATGGCAGTTATGAACACTGCAACAAGGATGGCCAACAGTGACGCCATCTGTGACAACAACAGATAGCTTGCTAGTGGGAATCCCATCACCATCGTCATCATAGAGGATGGTGCATTTTGAACAATAGTGGCGTAGCTCCTCTTGGCCATACATTTGGATGTGCAAGTTTCGGGCTCGAATGGCTTCTGTAAAGCGGTCTTTGTGGTCACCACCATGGCACACAGTCAAAGTCTCTGCACGGAACCCCAAGTCTTTGATGAGGGACAATTGGACGATGCCACTCCATACATGGTCGCCAGTTACCTCAAATCCAAAAGGGAAGTCAGAGGGAGGAGAAGCACCTTTGGAGAGAGCAACATTATATAAGCATGCACAATTGGACATAGATGTCCTGCCGCTGTGTCAATAAGGCGAGGGAGTGCAAGACAAGGCGGCTTACCAGGAGAGAAGGCATTGTGAGCGCCACATACGTACAACGGCTGTCTCAACAAACTGGTGACCTCCAATGTGAATGATACTAGGAACATCGCTGTAGTATGTACGCTCGCATTCAGCTTGGGGTACCTTGTGGTCAACCCAAAAGGAGTGATGAAATTTGACATTGCAAACTGGTTAGCTTGTGTGAGCGGGATGCAGCAAGTTTGGATGGATTGTAGTACACACCTTCACATTTCAAATCAATTGAATAGGTGGCAATGGGGCCCTGGGCAAGGGTATACAGTACAGCTGGCCGCTGGTTTGCTGTTATTAACTTTCTGATGTTCGAGCAGCCAGGTGTAGCGCAGGTTTGACTGGGTGGATACAGGGTGTATGGTGCTGGTGTTAATACATCAGTATCATACAATATTATTGATCTGAGATTAGTATGTACGCACTGATCCCATGCTTGTGTCCATATAGTGAAAATGTTGGAAGGTGATCGTTGATGCCAAAGCAGTCTTCGTTCCAAATGACATGCTTTAATGCAAACCAGAAGGTAGGAATGTCATCTATGGATATATCACAGCTAGCAGAGAGGAAACACGAAAGACTTGGTGAGAGATTAGCAGGTGGTTTACTGAGGTCCTGGTCTCCAAGCTGCACCAAAAGGATATCGTTCTTGAGACTAGTTGCTAGACTGATGAAGCGGAAAATAGCAGCCAGTGAAATCTTCAGCCCAGATGGGTTGGCACACTGCAAGAGCTGCAGAAGCTGGTTCAGGTTGTACATGGTGACTGTTTGCAATGTGCATGTGCCAGTGTGGTCACCGGCAGCTGAGCCAAGTACATGTATTCACAGACAGTCACACCAATTTCGAAATTGCCTTGTCCTTACAATATGTAGAAAATATGTAGAATATTATATTATACATATGACAAAATATATTATAAAAATGGATTATGTCATGTTGACGCGCATGGGGCGAAAGGCGCGAATGGGGCGGAATTCCAAGAACCCAGATGTCCTCGAGGTCAGATCTTCAGATCTATCCACATGTCCCGAATGCGAAGAATGAGATCTCCTCGCACTGATATGACATGCGGAACGACTTGTGTTTTTGATCAGAACTCATGCATCATGGTCGGCGCGTGCAGGATATCATATCATTATAGATGAGACTCAGTCATGGGCCAGAACCTTCAAACCAGCTTGCGTGCACGTCGGTGTCTCCCCATATCATGAACTACTGCCGATCATATAGCACATCCTCCTGTGGACATTGAGGGCACTTTTACGCGAGAACGTCCTCCCGCATGAGTCACAGGAGTACACAATCCCCAGATGAATCTCTTCCATATGCCTCAAGAGGGATTCTTTTTTAAGCACCGTACTGCAACCATCCCAGATGCACATGACGCTGAGCTTAGGTGGGCCACGAATTCCATGGACTTCACGTAGGTGAGAAGAGAGATCGTGGCGATGGATCAAGTGATCGCAGGATAGCCCGTTAGGACCATTACACTTGCACTGAAATACTTCTTCAAGAGAATGGCCCTTGTGCAAGGATCAATTAGTCATAGTGAAGCACGGTCAGAAAGTCGATAACTTACATGTCCTGGTGTAGTGGAGGACTCAGATACTTCATTATTTGAGTCGTTGTGAGAAGAAGACGGTATGGGAAATGCAGGAGTAGTCGAGGTGGAGGCAGACAAATTATTTGCGAACGTGAACAAGATCTTCAGTTCATGATCAGGGTGGAGTGGGGGACTGTCGGGTGGTTGTTCTGCTGTATCTGAGTCATTGGAACCACCGTGCGGGGAAGTTCCAGGAAAATCATCCGGCGCATCATCGGGATGATCGTCAGGCGGTCTACTACAAGAGTCTTGAAGCTCGTGTCAGTCGATGGTTGGAAAGCACCACGAATCATGAGGAATTACCTGGAGAGTAAAATCTATGCATGACAAAATCAAGTACTTTATCTGCTGAAGGTCGAAGTTCAGGTTCGGATTGCAAACATTTCTGGATGAATTTCCAATCAGAGTCTATTATTTCAGGATGACCATCTGGACGCTGCGGTCTACGACCTCGGGATATCAGGACAGGAATGCGTAAATCCAGCCTTCCAGATTTAATCTCAGACCAAGGGGGCCGACCCGAGAGAATCTGTTCAATCAGTCCTCGTGGGAACGTTTGTGACCAAACATCAACTGACTTGAAGCATCACACAACCAAAGGAGTAGATATCGATTTTTTCCACCAACTCCGGGTCACGCGCAGTGTCTGGTAGAATGAGTTCTGGTGCAGCATAGTGGATTGCGCCTGGACGTATAGATGTTGCCACCAAGTGCGACTGGTCGATAAGGGGTTGTGTGATGGTGGAAAGACCAAAATCGATTAACCTCGCATGACCTCCCTCGTCGATTAGTATATTTGCCTGCATATTCATGAGTTTTCAGGAATGCCACAGTAGTTCTGATTTTACCCCTGTTATGTCCCCATGCAAGACAGGAATCGAGTGTACTTGCATCAAACGTAAATTACGACTTGTACGTTTTGAGAAAATAGATGGAAACTAACGGTAATGAAGTCCAGCGCTGACATCCTCCAGCTGCCAACTTAGTGTTAGTCTTGAAAAATGAAAGGATGTGATGGTAATGACTCACCATACGCGAACGGTCCAAGACTGTTAGATCGTTGTGGTCAGATGCTAGGTATGCATTCAATGTGCCATTTGGCATCCACGGAGATACTAAGCAGCGCAATTCCGGCATGTATCCAAATCCTGTCGCTATACCCCACAAGGGTACAATGTTGTTATGGCGTAGAATTTTCAATATGCCAATCTCTCAGCTGATTTTCTGGATACGTCCAAAATTAGCGTAGGCTGATATAGATATGCGGTCCTTGTACAGAGCTTACCCTGTTGAGTGTCTCTAAATCATAACGTTCTGGAAGTCTGAAAGCCTTGACCGCAACCTTATCAATCAATGTTCCGATCATGATCAGCCAGTTGCATCATGTAGTAAATTGAATCCAATATATGGACTTACGAGGGCAGAAATACCATTTGCATCATAATTACATCTCCAGACATCGCCAAATGCACCTCCACCAACAGGCCTCGGAGTGGTTCGAGTGATAAAGCGCGTCAAATCGTCTGGCAAGTCTTCGTTCCTGCAGCACGGTCACATCACAAGTTCAGCAAAAAAAACATGGCGACACCAAGCACAGTGACTTGAATGCGATCATACCCCACATCGTCCGAGTTATCCATGCTTTCTCGATCAGCGTAAGAGATGAAAGGTCAACTGAGAAGTACTAGGTTGAGGGCGAGACCGAAGAAACCACACTGGATGTAGCCTATAGGCGTCTATATAACTCGTGTTCATTAGTGCTCGCCATTCTTGTCCTTGGTATATATCTTCCTTGGCGCTTAATGCAACATCGTGCATTTCCCAAGCGAATGCGGGCCCGCCAGGTAGTGACGCTGGCACACATCGTCGACGTACAAAGTACAGCGTGAAGATAGCTTTAATGTACTACTAGTTCACTCGGATGATAAAGTTAGCTGACACTGTCCTCATGCAGCACGACGTTCAGTAGATCAGACTCGGATACTAGATACTAAGAGGCCGAGCACAAACTGGAAAATACAAGTTGAAGTCGAAATTGACATATCGTGGAGGCATACAGCGTCAAAGTATGGAATATCGAAGTCCTGGGCAACATGCTGCGTGCATGACCGTCTGGATGCTACATGCGAACTCATCAGATTGTCTCAAGAATGCTTTGATCAACAAAGTGGGAGGATGCACGGAATTGATCATATGCCAATATGCACGAACGCGATGCGCTGGACCAGGGGTATGTCCTCATCACTAGCCGTGTCCCCGCAAAAGTCTTTGTAGAGTGCCTTGACTAAGTGCTGCACGGTACTATCATCGACATTCCATAATAGCCCAACGACGGTCTTAACCCCGGAAAATTACAGGCCAGCCGCTATGTGTATCATCACTTCGTCAGGAGTGTCATGGTCACCGACTGCGGTTTCACGGGCAGAGAGAAATGCAAATTGACTTGAAGTGTTCATCCAAATTCTGTGATCCGTGACACGCGGGATGGAACCAAGTATTATCTTGCAATGCGCAGTGCTCCCGATTTCGCAGCATCAATATCTTCAAGAAGGAAATAGTTGGGGAGGGGGCAAAAGTCTTCGCACCAATTCCAGCTCAAGCTCCACACCGTCCGAAGCGAATAAGGCACCGGCTGGTCGATTCTGACCAATGGCAGTGAAGGGTACCGACAGGGACCTGTCATGACTTTCGGGAGCCCTCATTAGCGCGGTGAGCGATGGGGTATATGAAGAGATGTAGTGCTTTCCCTTTGCACTGTACTCGCCAGCAGCATGCAACGGCAAGAAATTGAAGAGACGTCGGGCACCACCATGTTCAGGAACCTCGTCGCATAAATCCATCCAGATTCCAATGATGATGAACTTTGGAGGGGAATTGGGTAATGAGAAAACTGAAACCAGTTGGGCTGGGAGTAGGGGAAGCTCAAAGTAGATATCAATCATGAGTAGAGCGTCGGAAGCAAAGCACTCCTCCGTGACAGAATCGGTGGTGAATTTGAGACGCAAGAAGGGCGGCTGCATCCCGTGTACAAGCAGGTCTTGAGAAGAGGTGGAATGAAGGGGTGATATTGGAGTAAGCTATATGCTACATGCATGCGCCAGAAGGAGATGTACTTGAGTAGCTGCTCAACACGAGCAACAACGATATGCATGCATTCGTGGAGGATAGATAGTGATATTCGAGCACCAATCGCCCGATTAGATGCATTCTGGAGTTTTGGAGTGGGACGCATGTATGCACTGGGACATAATGTGGGCGGGTATGATAATAGAGTGCATTCTTGCCGTGATGGAGGCGTGGAAGCGAACAGCCTCAAGTGTCTGGGCGTCTATTCCCGCTACCTTTAGTAGAACAGGTGGATGCAGTGAGGCATGTTTTACATGAACCCCAAAGTACACGCACTTCTACAGAAAGACACCCACAATCCCCCCAAAATCTACTTCGACGCTCCAGTAAAATGTCGAAACTCATTCCAATCACAACACCCCTGCGAGAGTTCAAAGGCCATAAAGATCGCGTAACGGCAGTCGCAGTGTTCCCCGATAAACAGCGAATGGTTACGGGCTCGGACGATATGACACTTCGTCTGTGGGACTTGAAGACAGGTGTTATGTTGAAGAAGATGGAGGGGCATAGCAGGAAGGTGTGGGCATTGGCGGTATCACGAGATGGGCAATTGATAGCAAGTGGTGATCTCAACGGAGAAGTCTTCGTCTGGCACGGAGAAAGTGGAGCATCAATCACTGAACCCATCAAAGCCCACTTCGGTCATATCGCCTCACTGGATTTTTCTCCTGATGGGTCAGTGCTGGTCACTAGTACATACGACGACGGAATCACGAAACTGTGGAACACCAAAACCTGGGAGCAACAAGGAGACTCAATTGAGTGTGGTCATCGTCGCGTACGGTATTCGCCCTCTGGAGAACTTCTTACCATCGCAACAGACAACAATATCCAAATTTATAATTCAGGCACGAGGAAACGCGTCGCGTCCTTCAAGGCTCACACTGGACGCAACTTGTCATTTGCATGGACACCCGATGGCATACGCCTCCTCACGGGTGGCAGTAATTTTGATTCTACCATACGCGAATGGGATACAACAACCTGGCAGCAGGTCGGTGATCCATGGACGGGCCATACTGATGCAATCCGTGCCATTGCCGTTAATCCTACTGGCACACTTGTCGCATCCGCATCTTATGACAACCATGTCCGTCTCTGGCGGCTCTCAGACCGACAAACCGTCGCCATATTCGAGCACTCATCCTTCGCGGAATGCATCACTTTCTCGGTAGACGGAAACCACATCCTCAGCGGAGGTGGCGATAACATGATCTCGGAGTGGGCAGTACCTCAGGGTATTCATCCGAAGGCATGGTTCCAGCATTGACTGATATACCACAATTCGAGCATATTTTGCACAGATCCTAGCCATCACGACAGCCCGCGTTGCATGCATAGATGGAGACTTATCTACTGCCGAAGACCTACTCACGCAAGATATCAACACCAGTGTGAACAGCCACACTCCCTACGCCCATCGCTCATTCGTGATGGCCCGACAGCACAAATGGAACCGCGCCCTTCAGGATGCAATCAAGGTGAGTCATACGCACTGACCATAGTCCACTTACGAAAGGCTGACTCGACGGACGTAGTCTATCAACATTCAGCCCTCATTGATAGGCTACATCTCCAAGGGTATTGCTCTATGCGGAAAAGGCCGTGTTCCGGATGCGAGGGCAGCATTTGATGTTGCATCAATGTACACTGACCAAGAACCGCAAATCATCCATTCCCTGCTCTTGATCAAAGTATGTTACATTTGCCTCACATATTACCCTCCGATTCATCGCGTATTTCAGGCCATCGCTCTCTTCAATGCAGATCAACGTGACGATGCAAACTTGCTCCTCGAAGAACTCGCTGCTGGTTGTCCGAATGCCGATACTCTTGGGTGTTGTGTCGTGCAAGTAAGTATCATCGACACTTGATCATCGACACTAATATCTGCAACTCGCACATCAGGCATATTTGCGTGTTCAACTCGGAATCAAGGCCTTGGACGGTGCACGTCACGAAGAAGCCGCTGACCATTTTACCGCCGTTCTCAACTCGAGCGCGCTCTCATCGAGTTCGCCTATTCATCTTATGTACGAGGACTTGGTAGTGGTACGTGACTATACATCCGAAATCCTTTTCATAACCAAGTCCCTTGTCCAGCTCTTCGCCTGGGATCTCAAATCGTTGCGGCTCACTGCACACCAGAAACAGTGCCAGGCTTTCCTTTCCGCAGGCAAAGTCAATGAAGCACTGGAGTCGCACAAATCTATGATGGACAACCTCGACGAAACAACAAAGGCCAGCTGCATTGACTGGTCCACTGGTGAGTCTTCAGTAATGTTACCCAAGGTTATAATCCTTACCCACATTTCACTTAGCTTTCAAGCAAGAATGCAGCGCCCTCTCTCTTATTAACGGAGATTATGCCCTCACTGCAGGCGACTATGACAGGGCTATTGACCTCTACTCGGCAGTGATCGACCTAAATTCTGCATCTGACGCTGTCTTTGTAAAACGCAGCAAGGCAAGGTTGGGAAAAATGCTATGGACGGAAGCACTTCTCGATGCGCAGAAGGTGCGATGATGTTTATAGTTTTTTCACCCATGCTCATTGTGGTGATACACAGGCCATCCAACTCAATCCTTTGTCTCATATCGGATACAAGTTGGAGCATGCAGCGTTTTATGGCGCACAACGTTATGATGAAGCCATCGCGGCCTTCAAAATGATGCTCTCAAAATTGAATAGCATTCCTGACATTGAGACACGAAGTAAGCCTCAAAGAGCTCGTGTGTCAACATACTGACTGTTCTTGCAGAGTTGCGCCAGCAGTATCTCAGCCCTTCTGAAGTAGACCGTGCTATTCGAAAGGTCATCGATGCTCAACTTGACAATGTTCCGCTGCGTGTAATCGACACTACCACCGGTTTCTTATGCGATCGAGAGACGCAGATACGCACCTTCAAAACGAGCGCAGAGTACAAGGAGCTTGTATCATCAACAATTGTGCATCCAGATATCCGAATGAAGCACATCGAAGGCGTGGTGATGACATATTTCCAATATGTCATGCTATCGCACAGGTGGGAAGGCGAGGAGCCGCTGCTGCAGGACATCCAGGGCAAGGACGTCTATAAGTTGGATCCAGTGGGCGGCATCAAGAAGTTGCAGTCCTTCTGCAAAACTGCTCATGATTTGGGGTATCACTGGGCATGGAGCGATACATGCTGTATTGACAAGAACATCGATTTTGAGCGCCAAGCATCAATCAAGTCCATGTTCGACTGGTATCACCACTCCGCGCTCACAGTCGTATACCTCTCGGATGTTCCGCCTTTGTCAAAGTCTGGTGCACTGGCAGAGAGCGCTTGGAACACCCGCGGATGGACGGTTCAAGAATTCCTCGCTCCCAACGTCATTCGGTTCTATCAGAATGATTGGACTCTTTATCTCGACGATCGCACTCCCAATCACAAGGATTCTGTGATGATCATGCAGGAGTTGGAGGATGCGACGGGGATAGATCGACGAGCTGCCGTGGCCTTCCGTCCCGGGATGAGAGACGCCCGAGAGAAACTTCAGTGGGCGTCGGTACGTACCACCACATTGCAAGAAGACATCGCATACTCGTTATTCGGCATTTTTGGCGTCCGTCTACATGTTGATTATAGCGAGAAGAAGCAGAATGCGCTCGGGCGGGCTCCTGCAGGAAATCATAGCTCAGTCTGGCGATATTACTGCGCTAGACTGGGTCGGAAAGTCATCAGAGTTCAACAGCTGTCTACCAGCCGACATCACCTCATACGATGCTCCACCATGCAAGCTGCCATCTCTATCTGAAGATGAGATTCAGGCATCGGTCTCCTCGCTGCGAGGTGTTATGGCTTCACAGTCGGCTTCACAATTGTATCAGACACTTGACTGCCTAAGCGCTCCCCGTTTCGCGCACCGCCGGTTGCATCTGCCTTGCATCGTATTCCCAGTCACAGAAGCCAGGCGGAAGCCAGGTCATGACCAGGATATACACGCGTATGAACTCAAGTCAGACGGGCTTCGCAACCTGGAGATCACCACAGAAAACAAGTTCACCCCTTTCTCGCCGGCAAGGCCACCACCCGCCTGGCAGACGATGTTACTCGTTCGTCCATGGAGTCGCTATCTCCTCGAGCTACATGACAGGGCAGATGTTATGCAGAGCATGGGCAATCGGTCCGTGCCCGAATCTCCGTTGTATGATTCATCTGCTGCACAAACTGAGCCGATTTGTTCGGATTCTGACTCGCGAGCATTGCGGTTGATTGTTCGCCTTGGACAGCCCTTTAGTGCATTTTTGCTAGCGCGGCAGCGTGAAGGAGAATACAAGAGGATCGCATCCGATCATGATATCATTGCACAGGTCAAAGACGTGGTTTCTATTAGCTACTTGATGGACATCAGGACACTAGAGGTACTGTAGCTGTGTGCATGGATCCTTTCCAGTCTTACACCTGTTCCGGGAGAGCGTCACCATATCATCACACCATCTCCAAAGAAATTGATAGCCCGAGTGAACTAGTCTGCATTAGGATGCAATTTCAAGCTTCAAGACTCATCGCTGAATGTGGACCAGGAATACAACCCCCCAATTTCAATTCTCTTCGTCTCAATCGTGCTATGCCGTTGGACTCATATCGAGATACGGATCACGAGGGAAGTACTTTCACCAATTCCGCGTGACTTCGTTCGAAACAAGTCTTTCTCAATGCACGTGGATGGCATCCTACCACCTCCCAAGCGCGCTGTGGGGAGGACCCCCAGTATTGTTATGGACACCAGTACTACGGCTTCTTCCCCAAACTCTGGGTTTATGCCTCCTTCCAAAGCTCTCGTAGCTGCATTCACTTTCGCATCTACAATAGTTCCAGAGAAGATACCCCAGTCGAGACATGTTGTAGCACCCTCAGCAACTCAACGAGGTCCCCCACCGCTGGGGATACGCCGGCACCACAATCTCCCAAATTCCGGAACCCTTTGTCACAATCGCGCTACGCCACCACGCAGTCGCCCTATGCGGCTTCACAAGCGAAGGGACAAAAGCCAGTGACGCTTCCGCCCTTCAAGCCACCGCTGCTCAAGAAACCCAACCCAAAAGCCGTTCCCGCACCAAAGCAGGTCTTCCAGACTCCTGAAAGCCCGCCGACTTCGACGCCCGAGCTGGTCAAGGACGATAGCAACGATGATGGTGATGATGAAGAGGATAAACTCGGTGCGGCGGGCGCAGATTCGTCGTTTGATGTGTCTTTTGATGTGGATGTGGATGCCCTGGAGGCGACCATGCAGCAGTATGATTAATGGAGCGGACGTATTGACACCAGAGGGTGCGAGGTGGGTGTATACTATGGAAGATGAATACTATGTTTTCGATCTTTTTGATAATCCATCTACTTAGATACATGTACACGCATTCACTTATGGTTTTGAACTGCACATCTGGAATCTTGACTGCTACGTATACTACATACTGGCATACCGGTTACTCAGCATTAAGATGCAAACTCTAGGCCATGCACGTGTGTATGTCCAGGATATGTCTACGCATGAAAATCCTGCCGCAAAGTTGACAGGGGTACCTAATCCCTAAATGAGTCCCTGCCACATGCCTCGCTAGGGATTCTTTGCTAAGCTCCACATTACAACCAGACTACATCCACTCGATGCGAGACTGGTCTGAGCCATGGATTCTATGAGCCTCATGTAGGTGAGGAGAAAGATCGTGGCCACAAATCAAGGCATTGCAATGTAACCCGTAAGAACTAGCCCACATGCACTGAAACACTCCATCGAGAGAATGGTACATCTGCAAGGGCCGATTAGTTGTAGTGAGGCACGGTCAGAAGGTCAACAACTTACAATAGTGGAGGACCCACAGACATTGCATTACTTGAGTCGTTGTAAGAAAAGCGCGGTGTGGGAAATACAGGAGTACTCGAGGTGAAGGCAGACAAACTTTCCGTGGGCGTGAACAAACTATCCGTTAGGGCGGTGTATCCGCGACTATGCGCCTGCGTGAAACAAGCAAGGCAAGAAGTGGTGGGAACCCCACGTTACGACAAAGCCCGAAGGACACTGAGTGGCTGACTAATCTATGGTGCTCCTCGGCTGCTGCTCTGCTGCTACCTACTGAGTGAGGTGGTGCCTGGGGCTGTGCATATGCGCCTCCTCTTTAAATACTTAAAATACTTAACTTAATCACTGTTTTTTCTGTGCTTCCAGTGACCACCGACAAAGTCGATAACATTTCAGTGTATTCCATAGTCACTAAAAAAAACTTGACCACCGTTTCCGTGAGACAATCGCTGGAAATTTCCGCGACCAGTGGCAAACACGTTGGAATCAATTGATTCTACTATCCACAGTGATTATGTTACAACTGAGAACTCGCAAACTAGTCCTGCTGTCCCACACTTTTATCTTCGTCATATCACCCACCGTGACGCCGATGCATACATCTGTTCGATCTACTCCGCCCGCGCCGTCCGCTCCATCTGCTCCACCGCCTGCATCGCTGCCATTTCTCGGGCTCCGGCCTTAGTGTGTGCTGTACCATGGCCGTAACTTATGTCATCAACTATGTGATTGTGATGAGAAGTACCAGGAATCACTCTACTGACGACTTACTATATACTGTAACGTCCCAGATAAGAGCGTGTGGAGGTCCTAGGGAGTGAACTTCCCATTTTACATGGTTAAGTGCGCTTGGGCCAAACCTTCATTGAAGTTGATTGTTGAGCGCTACTCGGGGATGTGTACTAGATGAACTACGGCTGCGCAAATGATAAATATAAACATATGCATACGAATATTGTGTGAACATACTAAGATCCCTGAATTCAAGTCTCTAACAAAATTGAAGGATTTGGTTCACGACCAGGGTGGAGTGGTGGACTGTCGGGTAGTTGTTCTGCCGTATCTGACTCATTGGAACCATCATATGGGGAAGATCTGGGGTCATCATCCGGCGCATCATCGGGATTGTTGGGTGCTGTTCCGGAGTGCGTAGTAGCTGAACCACTGTGACGGCTGCGCAGATTGAATATAAACACATGTATACGAATGTTGTGTGTGGACATACTAAGAAATTCGAGGCTTTAACAAAATTGAAGGTTTTGATTCGCGACCAGGTGGACTGCCGGGTGGTTGTTCTACCGTATCTGACTCATTAGAACCACCATGTGGGGAAGCTCCGGGGTCATTATCCGGTCCATCATCGGAAGGATCGTCAGGTGGTCCACTGCCGTGACAAGGGTCTTGAAGCTCCTGTGAGTGGATGGTTGGAAAGCATCATGAATTATGTAGAATTACCTGGAGAGGAAAACCTATGCATGACAAAGTCGAGCACTTCATCTGCTGAAGGTCGAAGTTCGGGTCCGGATTGCAAACATTTTTGAATGAATTTCCAATCAGAGTTTATTATGGTAGGTTGACCATCAGGACGTTGCGGTCCACAGCCTTGCGAGATGCTAACGATGATGAACGCTTCTGACGGGATCTCAGACCAAGGACGCCGACCCGAGAGAATCTGGTCAGTCAGCCCTTGAACGAATATCTTGTGTTCGAACTAAGAACTCACTTGAAGCATTATACAACCAAAAGAGTATATATCAGCTTTTTCGAGAGGCACTGGTATCTCGCGGGTATTGTCTGGTAGAACGAGTTCTGGTGCTGCATAGCGGATTGCGCCTGGACATATGGATGTCGCGGCCAAATGGGACTGGTCGATAAGGGGTTGTGTGATGGTGGAAAGACCAAAGTCGATTAACCTCGCATGGCCTCCTTTGTCGATCAATATATTTGCCTGCGTGTTCATCAGTTTTCAAGAATGCCGCAGCAGCTCTGGGCTTACCCTTGTTATATCCCCGTGCATGATAGAAATCGAGTGCACTTGCACCAATGGTACAGTCACAACTTGAATGTATTGAGAAAATAGATGAAAACTAACAGTAACGAAGTCCAGCACTGACATCCTCCAGCTTGAAACATCCAGTTAGTCTTGAAAAGTGGAAGGATATGATGAGAATTATTCACCATACGCGAACGGTCCAGAGGTGATAGCTCGTTGTGATTAGATACAAGGTATACATTCAATGTGCCATTTGGCATCCACGGAGATACCAAGCAGCGCAACTCCGATATTCGTCCAAATCCTGTCGCTATACCCCACAAGGGTACGATGTTGTTATGGCGTAGAATCCTCAATATGCCTATTTCTCGGCTGATTTTCTGGGTGCGTCAGTACAAGTTAGCACGGGCTATTATGCAGTTGTCATACGAAGCTTACCCTGTTGAGTGTCTCTAAGTCATAACGTTCTGGAAGTCTGAAGGCCTTGACCGCAACCTTATCAATCAATTTTCCGATCATGATCAGTCAGTTGCATAGTAAATCGAATCCAACATATGGGCTTACGAAAGCAGAAATACCGTTTGCATCATGATTGCAATTGCATTTCCAGACATCGCCAAATGCACCTCCACCAATGTGATCCAGAGCTGTTCGAGTGATAAAGGGCGTCAAATCGTCTGGCAAGTCTTCCGTCCTGCAGCACAGGCATGTCACAAGTTCAGTAAAACAAATATGGCGATACTAAGCACAGTGAAAATGCGATCATACCTCACATCGTCGTTCTCCATATTTTCGATCAGCTTCGTAAGCGATGAAAGGTCAACTGAGAAGTACTGGATGAAATTTAGTTAAGGGCAAGGCGGACGCTATCCTGTGAATTCACACTGGATGTAGCCTATAGGCGTTTATATGACTCGTGTCACTTAGTTAATAGTAGTGCTCACCATTCTTGTTCTTGGTATATATTCTCCTTAGCGCTAAATGCAACATCGTACACTTCCACTAGTGACGTTGAACAAGTGACTGTATGGAAACGATCATATCCTGACATTGTCGGTCGCGACAACGGTGCCGTTGGACTATGGGCTCGTTGTTGGTCGTCTGAGTTCAAGGGCTAACGAACATTCAGCCTAACTTGACGGTGATGGTGTAGTGTCAATAAGTCATGATTAAGTAAGTAATAAGCTCAACCCGACATCGGATCGGCATCCTCAACACAAATTTCATCTCATCCGAACTTCGAAGGCCTTGGTGATCGCTATTATTCAAATTACTACTTTTCTACGGTTTCATGCCAGACCGGCCATTTCAGAGTCGGATTGCCCACCTCCATATATTGAACTCATCACACTCGCAACCACCCCGCTACCTACTCTTGTTCCCAATGCCGCCAGTGAGGACCAAAACATTCAGCCTCCTCTGCTTACTACTGGGCGAACACCCCAGGCAGATATTCAAGGTCGAGATTGCGTCGACGAAGACCGTCAGTGACCTGAAAGAGTTGATCAAGGAAAAGAAAACTGCATTTCGCGACCTGGATGCAGACGCTCTCCAGCTATGGAAGGTGAGTGATTTGATACAGTGATACCTACAATCAGATGCTGACGGTCTACTTTGGAAGGTCGACCTGCTTGTCGACAACACCCTCGAGCGTAATGTCAACAATATCAAGCTAGACCAGCAGCAACTGTTATCGGCTGTGGATGCAATGTTCGAGGTTTTTGACAATCCTCCTCAGCCCAAGCACCTGCATATTCTTGTCCAGCCATTACCTGCTGGTGAGTTGTCTGTCGATATCGCCTCTCTTTCATCCATACTGATTGCGGTGTGATCAAGTTGTTTCTCACTCAGCTGGCCACTCGTTGATCAATCTCAACTGCCTAGTATTAGGCGACCACCGCGAGAACATATTTACGGTCAAGATTGCATTGATGGACACTGTTAATAACTTGCAAGAGTTGATCAAGAAAAAGAACTGCATTTTGCGACCTGGATGCAGACGCTCTCCAGCTATGGAAGGTGAGTGATTTGATACAGTGATACCTACAATCAGATGCTGATGGTCTGATGCTTTGGAAGGTCGACCTGCCTGTCGACGACTCCTTCGAGCGTACTGTCAACGAGCTCGAACCAGATCCGCAGAAAGTATTATCGACTGTGAATGGAATGTTCGAGTTTTTTGACAGTCCTCAGTATAAGCACCTGCATATCGTTGTCGAACCGCGACTTCCTTGTGAGTTATCGGTCGATATCGCTTTGACATGGCGACTGAGCTGACGGCTGCCTCCCAGACGGCGACCGCAGCCATTTGCGACCGTCGCCTTCTGCAGTCCTGTTTAAGCAACTTCGTGGAAATTACAACCTTCCCCAGGAGCCTCCTCCCAACTATGGACAACCTTCTGAATTCGAAGGCATACAAAAAAATCCGGACCAGTTCGTTCACTGGGATCGACCCCCTGAGAATGCACATACTATACCCTGCACGCTACTTCATCCAATCTTTGGCACATTTATGGACGACTGCGAAAATATCGAGCCAACGCCAGATGATAACAAGTTGGCCATGACATTGTCGGTGGTTATGTCCGGCTTCTTCACGGACGAGAAAGCACGAGCTTACAAATTTCGTGAAGTCCTCCAAGCGCACAATATCAACATTATGGCCACGACGATTAGTGGCACCGCCTATGTCACTGACGGCGACATACAGTACAAAGGTTTCCGTTACGCAATCACCAAAGTTAAGAACGAGTTAGGGTCCACGGCGACCGAACCCCACATGCAAACCATTCTATATTATATACATTCTACTGAGTCTTTCGCGAAGGCCAAGCCCACATTTAGGTTCCCCTGTATGACAATCACTCTATTTGGTAGGTTTGCAGTATTTCACAACTCGCGATGCACTGATCACAACTTCAACAGGTCCGCACATCGATTTCTCAGCTACTGTTTGGAGTACTCGTCCAAACATGCAGGTGATTTCGACTGCTTTACCTCTCTTTCATCACCCCACTGATAGCAAAATGCGTGTGATGGTCGCTCGGCACATTGGTGCGTTCAGGAAAGCTCTTCGGTCCCTCTTGGCATGTTACCAGGGCATGACGTCCCCTTCTCCCGATCAAGACCTTGAATTTCTGGACTCTAAATTTCAAGATCCCATGTGTCCATACCCGTATTCTTTCACTTGTATGGAGACATCGTTGACGTGTGATTTCACGTACTACAATCAAATGGATCAGTCCAGACTACTCTTTTCCGCCGTCAAGACGACCGACGACAAGAAGCTCTGCATCAAGTTTGTCCGTCGCTACTCTAAGGAAGTACATCAACGATGTGCTTCGGACGGCTTCGCTCCAGCACTTCTGGGCTTTGAACAGCTACCAGGCGGATGGTACATGGTCGTGATGGAGATGATCACGGATGATTACTGTCATCTTCAGGAAATTACCGTTCCTTACCCTCATCACGATGCGCTCGCTACGGAACTCCAGTCTCTTCATCGAGGAGGTTATGTTCACGGAGACATCCAGGACACAAATATTATGGTAAAAAAGGACTGCAGCCCTGGATTCATGTTGATGGATTTCGACTGGTCCGGAATGATAGGTGAAGCCCGATACCCAATGAACGTATATCGAGGAGAACGTCTCTGGAGACCTGATGGAGCGGAAGACGGACAGTTGATCATGCCCGAACATGATATGCAGATGTTGCACGCCATATTTCCAGAAGGCACCTTTGTTTGAACTAGTACGGTTGACCAGTATTGATTTTACTAGATTTGTATTACATTCCATAGATTACTTATCTGTACTTTTTAACTTGATGCATTAATGGCTGAGATATGTATCTTGAGGCTGGTTCCCTGGACCAGTCTATTGATGCACGTGAACGACATTGTGCCACCACCAACTCGGAAGCATGCAAAGGGGAGGACACCCAGTACCATCATGGCCTCATCTATTAGTCGTCCTACTATGGCTTCTTCCCCAAACTCTGAGCTTCTGCCTTCCTCCAAAGCTCTTGCAACTACAACTACTTCTATATCCACAGCTGTTTTAGGCAAGATACCCCCGCCGGGACATGTATACTGTAAGTCTGAGGGGGACTTGTGAGTGCAAAAGAGGTGTGGGGACCGCTTGTAGGATATTGGTGCGCTGTAGAGTTTAGCTTTTTAGTGAATGTTATGCGGTAGAGAACGTGACGAGTCTGCGATGAAAGATATAGCGATACTGAAGATAATGAATGCGAGAGCGGGACTTCTGATACTGGATATTATTGCCTGTCAGTATGGACTGTACATGGGCTACTTATACTTTAGAATAGTAAGAGTCCTTATGGATGGCTAGGCCGAAATTAGAGCGAAAAACGGAGTCCGAAGAGAGAATTATCGCGTCCGAGAAGGTAGAGTATATATAACGCGAAAGAGTACGAAAAATGAGCGAGCGGAGGTTTGAATGGGTATGGCTTGACAGGATAACGAGAGCGTGCATAAGTTTTGACAGTTTTTAGATGGCTCGGTTGCGAGTAGAGCGACGGGGACGAACAGAGGGACGCGAACGAGGGTTTTAGTGTATAATGGCCGACAAGGACTTGGTGGTCGTGGTGAGCGTTGATTCGGCTATTTCCGGCGACAAACGATTGGTAATCCTTACAACACTCTGCCGTGGTGCCCCAAACGACTCAATGAGGTCCTACCGCTGGGGACGCGCCCGCAACACAACCTCCCCAATTCCAGGTTCCCTTCGTCTCAATTGTGCTACTATGCTACTGTGCAATTGCCTACGTGGCTTCACATGCAAAGGCAAGTTATGCTACAACCTTTCAAGCTCCCACTGCTCAGGAAACCCAACCCAAAACTTGTTCCCGCATTAAAGCAGGTCGTTCAGACTCCCGAGAGCCCGCCGACTTCAACGCTCGAGCTGGACAATGACGACAACGGCGATAATGATGACGAGGAGGGCAAAGTCGGTGCGGATCCATCGTTTGATTGTGTTTTTAATGCGGACGTGAATGCTCTGGTGGCGACCACGCGGCAGTATGATCAGTGTGGTAGATGCATGCAATTTTTGTGCCGGAGAAGATACGAGGCGGTATACTTCCAATCCGTTTTTGATAATTCATCTATGTATATTCACACGTGTGATTACTTGAGGGAGTGCGCACCTTCTTGATGTTGTCGTGACCCCCATATACATCTATCTGCTCCATTTACCCCCTCCACTCTGCACCTTCCCTAAACCCTACCCAAGTTTCTTGCCTTGCATCGCTGCCATGTCTTGGACTTCGTTCCTGGTACACGTTGTGCCATGGCTATAATTCATGTCGCCGTCTACTTGACTTTGATGAGAAGCAGTCTGCTGACAACTTACCATATAGTGTAGCGTTCCAGGTGAGAATGTTTGGAGGTCCTCGGGAGTAAACCTCCCATCTTACATGTGATCCGGCCTGTAGCGTTGTTATTCAAATTACCGCTTTGCTACATTCGCCAAATGTGGTCCAGATGCCACGGCGCGCTGGCACAAATCGTCGACGCGTCAAGTGCAACGTGTAATTAGCTGACTGCATTAAATAGCTCGAGTTCGTCAATGCGGTCCACTGATACTTAGTTTTCACTGCAAGTGATACCTCGTTTAAAGTCGTGCCCTGGGTCGACCGTAATTTCAATAGAGAAAGATCATTTCTATCTTTGTCTATCATCAGGAAGACGCGGTGCTCTACGAACTGTCCTATGGCGTAATTCCGATAGAGCCTCAATGATACTCCGAATCCTAAATCACCTGTGTGTCGGTCTCGGAAGGTCGAACCCTCAGACCCTGTGAACGTTACACCTCGGCGAATTTGATAATTCATCTATACCTTTATTACACATGAACTAGTATGTGTTACGAAGTTACCAACCCACCTTTGTCCATTTTCTGTTAACACTGTGCGTTCTTCAAATTCACTCATTGCCCTCGTGAACGAAACTTTCACAACACGACAAAGATGGCAGAGCCGTCATCTCCAGCAGTCGAGGAGGCCAAAGAAAGGCCAGGTGCATCGTGGAAAATGGCCGAGGAGCACGTCATCCCTAAAAATCGCCTAGGGATTGTGTTTATTGGCTGGATGTGTACAATTTTCTTGGTAGCCATAGATCAAGTGCGTATT